AGAACAGTCTCCACATAAATTGCCTAGAACTCCTAGCAGGATCCTTAGCAGTCAAATGCTTTACCAAATCCATGGCATCATCCCAGGTACTCCTGCTAATGGACAATGTCACAGCGGTGACCTATATAAACAAGATGGGGGGCACTCACTCATGCCTTCTGTCTCAACTAGCCAAGAACCTGTGGGACTGGTGTCTCAGTCACAATGTGCTACTTTCAGCCCAATATATTCCAGGGATAGAGAATGTACAGGCCGACCGAGAGTCGAGGATTTTCCTAGACTCCAGCGATTGGAAACTGAACCAAACTGTTTTCAACAGCCTGTATCAGAGGTGGGGACCTCTGGACATCGACCTTTTCGCATCCCGCCTGACATTCCAGTTGGACCATTATGTGAGCTGGAGACCAGACCCTTCGGCCGTGCATACGGATGCGTTCACCCTCAACTGGGCGACATTTTGGGGCTATGCATTCCCCCCATTTGCGATGATCGGTCGGTGTCTACATCAAATCCAGAGCCAGAAAGTAGAACACCTTGTGCTAGTGGCACCAGTTTGGCCAACCCAAGCTTGGTACCCCCTCTTACTGGAACTGTGCATAGACTTCCCTCTTCTTCTACCGAAGATCTGTTAACCCAGAGGGGCAACAACCACCCTTTGGATCAACTCCAGCTAGCTGGGTGGCTACTATCAACAGTAGCTACCAAACAGCAGGAATTTCGGATCAAACTAGAAAAATTCTCTTGGCGGCTTGGAGAAAAAACACCACCAGCTCCTATTCCTCTGCATGGAACAAGTGGAGTAGCTGGTGTGCTGAAAGGGTCACTATCAATCCCCTTTCACCATCTATCAATGACATCTTAGATTTTTTCACAACACAGTTCCACGAAGGGAGGGAGTATCGGTCTATTAATGTTTACCGGTCTGCGCTCTCCGCATGTTTACCTCTAATAGATGGCCACAAAGTGGGTTCCCATCCTTTGGTTACCCAGTTACTAAAAGGGGTGTATAACCTTCGTCCACCCCAGCCACGCTACACTCAAACATGGCCAGTCATTAAGCTAGTACAGTACATCAGCTCGTTGGGACCTAATGACCAACTCTCTGTCAAAATATTAACCTACAAACTAGTAGGTCTGCTAGCCCTAACTGCTCCCGATAGAGCTTCGGGGCTTGCAGCCAGGGATTTACGGTTCAGGTACATGCACCCCGAAGGCGTTGAATTTAAACTACCTGACCTAACGAAAAATACAAAATCGGGCGAAAGCTTAAAGTGCCTATATCAACCTCAGGGAAATAACCTACTTAGATAGATTAGATGATTTTAAAAACATTTGCAATATATTTGATAAGTCGAAAATTTGATCTTCATGTACTTTTCGGGCCTCAAAGTTGGCTTTTTTCGTGTTTGACCGTGAGGTGCTGTGAGTGGGAACTAGTTGCCCTTTTTCACCGGAAGTGACGTACATTGGAGAACACGCTAATTTTGTAAACAAGAAACACGCTTTGAAATATAGAAATATCGTCAAGTATTTCCGACAACTTAGACAGCCAACTTGATTCGGATATTTAATTCATCCCGGATTATGTATTGCCAATATCGGAAGTTGAAGACGATGCGATACTGTTGCTTCAAGAGACAGTACGCCTACACATGACGGTTTATATAAACCTTACCAAGACAAACCGATTGCTGACCGTGCCGAGTATAATGAAGACTAAAAGAGGGACGTGTACATGAAGAAAGAAGGCAGCTTCTTTTATTCGCAAAACGGCCGGACTATCCCAGTGTCAGATTGGTAAGTGAAATATATAAAGGCACTATAGTAAAGCACTACATATACTGACATTTCACCCTACTGTTTCAAAAGGTCTATTGGTTTATAGCTACTTGGGAAAGAGAAGAATACATTTGTCAGCATGTGCTTAGGACTCCATTCCAGACAAAGTTTTGGAGGAAATATCTTTAAAACCTTCAAACCTTTGTCTTATGGAATCATAAGCATATAAAATATAGATGTAAAGTATTGAGAACTTATCCTAAATAATCATGTTTGAATTGAAATGGCTAAAGGACATGCATATATTAGCCACTAGTTATTGTTGAATATTTGCCTGTTTTAATCACCTTGCACATTTATACTTCCTTCCATCTATGTTATGAGACAGACGCAACGACCTGGGCGCATAGTTATGTAATGTGGGACTTCTCCAACTTCTTGTAAGACAAGTTCTCCACTCAACGCTTCAACGCTCCTGTTTTTCATTTACCAAGAGATCGATCTTAAAATTTTTACATTTGCACCTACAAAAACATATATTTATATTAATTGTGAAACAGTAGGGTGAAATGGCAGTATATGTAGTGCTTTACTATAGTGCCTTTATATATTTCACTTACCAATCTGACACTGGGATAGTCCGGCCGTTTTGCGAATAAAAGAAGCTGCCTTCTTTCTTCATGTACACGTCCCTCTTTTAGTCTTCATTATACTCGGCACGGTCAGCAATCGGTTTGTCTTGGTAAGGTTTATATAAACCGTCACGTGTAGGCGTACTGTCTCTTGAAGCAACAGTATCGCATCGTCTTCAACTTCCGATATTGGCAATACATAATCCGGGATGAATTAAATATCCGAATCAAGTTGGCTGTCTAAGTTGTCGGAAATACTTGACGACGTCGTTTTAGCGAAAAACGAACCAAAAAGTTTATATACTACAAGATTTCGTAGTTTATTGCCGCAATATTTATATATTTTAAAGCGTGTTTCTTGTTTACAAAATTAGCGTGTTCTCCAATGTACGTCACCTCCGGTGAAAAAGGGCAACTAGTTCCCACTCACAGCACCTCACGGTCAAACACGAAAAAAGCCAACTTTGAGGCCCGAAAAGTACATGAAGATCAAATTTTCGACTTATCAAATATATTGCAAATGTTCTTAGAATCGTCTGATCTATCTAAGTAGGTTATTTCCCTGAGGTTGATATAGGCACTTTAAAATGTTGCTTTCATGCCAGTTTTCCCGATAATGACCTTTTATGTCATTATGTGTATGCAAATGTCTCGTTGAATATGAGAATCGTACAGCAGCATGGAGATCAACTGACTCATCAAAACCCAACAAGTTATTGCTGTCTTACATTTATCCTCACAAAGCAGTTACCTCTGCAACTGTAGCAAGGTGGTTGAAAGAACTCCTACATCTAGCCGGTGTTGATACTAATACTTTCCGGGGACATTCCTTTCGCGGGGCTGTCACTACCGAAGCAGCTAAACAAGGCTTTTCGATAGCCGAGATTTTGCAATTTGCAGACTGGTCTCAACAAAATACTTTTATCAAATTCTATTATCGCCCACAGTTTAATACCGCTCCAGCTAGGGCTGTCTTGTCAGCTAACACATAAAGGGCTTTGAACATGCATTGTTACATTGAGCCGAGTATTTTGAAGTATAATTGTAGATTATACAAGGGCTGCTTGCAGCCTGAAGTGTAATATTAATTATACGAGAAATACGAGGCGAGATTTAACAATGCAATCCCACCCTTATATCCCACCCTTCTATGTTGCATTGTTATTTTGTTATTTTCAGGTACGTCGTTCATTCCAAAGACAAAGCCCAAGGTTCAGCCAGCGGTGTTATGTTAGACATTTAGTTACTTGATGTTATGTTAATAGTTTACTTTTAAACACTGTATTTTGGAGTGAATAAAGAGATATTGCATTGTTAAATCTCGCCTCGTATTTCTCGTATAATCCCCGAGCCGGTGCGGAGCACCGTGCGAGGGTACTAATTCCGCCCGGAGATTAGGAATTACACCCGGGACCCGGGAGAACATAGCGGAATCCAAAGTTGCCCAAATGTCATGGACGTTCAATGGTCATGATACTTGTGCGCATGCGCGGAATGCGGACGAGTGTAAACTGGTAATCAGCAACTTCCTGATTGGCTAAGACGAAACGTTTGTGTTTAAGTGAAAACGTCAGCAATTTAACTGTCATTTTGCAAAATGCAAACTATCTTTTAAAAAAATGTTTCGAAAACAAAATATGAAATGTGGAATCAAAAAACAGATAAAACACTGGGAAGAGTTTAAAATATTATCAGAACTGGAGGAATTAGCGGTGAAAAGGAACAACTCGATTATAATCCTTGAAATGGTAGGAGTCTATTTTGTTTATTTCGAGGTTTATTTCGTGTTTGCTGTACGAATATATTTTATGACCTTGGTACAGTATGTCATCGTTTTGCTCGGTTTTGCGAAGACGTGACCGACTATTTAAGGCTTTACATCATCGTTTTAACTTCCAAAAGAGTCCTTAAGAGTGTAATTCGGAGTTTCAATATAACAAATATCACTTTAAAGGTTTATATATAGTTGACTGCAATCACTGCATGAATTTAATAATCGAAAAACAACATTCGACGTTCACTGCTTGGTTATTTATATTATTTGGGCTGTTTTGATGTCTTGAAGGTTTAGCTATAATGAAGTATTAACTCTCACTTAAACTGTGAAAGTCTATAACTTAATGCAACGGAAAGCAGCAGGAAAACGGGTGATTTCACTTCACCTTTACGACTGTCAACTATGTTTGTTTCCGAAATATTTGAAACATCAGCTATCGGCTTTACATTTATAGGACATTTCATAATATTGAAGGTTAAGTCTGGCTAGCTCAGGAAATATTTTGCTTCGTTTGAAATGGCGAGGGGTTGCTGCATGCATGTATTTCTAGTTAATATTACACTTCAGGCTGCAAGCAGCCCTTGTATAATCTACAATTATATACCAAAATTGGCGGAACCAATTAGCGGAACCTCGATCTTAACTGAGTTTCTCACTTCTCTATGCTCTCCTCAGTGTTTTAAAGGCGGTATTATTTGAGCTGTGATCTCAAAATATATGATTTAGATATATCGTTCCAGTTTTGTAACTTTAGTTTGCAGCGCCATATAGCTCAGTTGCCGCACCCAAAACCTCACCCAGTTCCTGTTGCTCTTTGAGTCTTTGTATTTCTTCAAAGTCTGTGTTCCTTATTTGTCAAAATGATCGTATTCTTGGACTAGAAGCTCCCAAAGTAATCCTGGGAAGTGTTGATTTAGTGTTTGAACAAAACTAAAGTTGTTTTAACAAGCTTTATCAAGACAGACAAGCCCAAAGACAAAGGCATACGGCTTCGGACCAGTCGTGGTATAAATATACACTGCATAGACAAGACAAGATTGCCGAAGGTATTAAATCAAGGTATGTTTTCTCTCATATTGCGATATACGAATGCATCTTTGTCTATTTTGCTATACATTACAATGTTTTGACGGGATGGTTTGGTTTATATTTGTGTTTCACGTAGTATATTGAACATTGTTGCTTTATATATACATATTTGGTTTTGTGTAATAATAGTCAACAGAAATATTCACATCTGATTTTGCTGGGTACAGGAAGAATTTATTTTTCAACGTTTTGTAGTTAATATCGTATGCAAAATAATACACCAGTCAGCGCTATAGTTTTGTTTCATGAATTCTGCTATAATATGGTCATTATATTAAAACACATCTAATTTCCAATTTACACAGTGCTCCCCTAGTTTTAATAACACAGGAAATCAATTTTAAAACATTCACTAATTAATTCATTACATGTCCATTTTAAACATTTTATTCCACCTGCTGAGATGAAATTATTAGAGTTATCACAAATTAATTAGTTCAGTAATTTCAACTTCAAATGGAATCACCCATTGTTAGGAAAATTGTTAGGAAAAACATTTGCTTGAAACCATTGTGGAACTGGATAATTATCACATAACCAGTAAATCACTGATTAGATGAGAATTTTATTAGAATCTTTTTGCCCGTCCAAGAGGGTGTAATTCCTCCATAGTCAAGCCATTAATTATTTTTTTTCCTTTCTTGTCCTAAAAATCTAATCCATGCCAAATATGCATGTTTATGGCAGGGAAACTCCCCAGTTGGTGCAAAGGGGAAAATGTTTTCCCAAATGGATTTCCCCTTAGAAGCAACCTTCAAATCACAGAATAAAGATCAAACTTTATAATATTTTTTATGACACATTATTCATACTGTATTCTCATTAAGATTTATAGGTTAAAACTCACTTGATCACATGAGTCAAACAATAAATGTTATATCAATTTGGCAAAATCAAACACAATCCAATGGAGATTTTTCATAATATATTGTAAATTCTAAATTGATTGGATTCTGATTAGATTACAGTTAAACTATTATAGAAACAAACTTAATCACAACTCACAGTACCTGAAGAGTGGATCTCCACTGATTGTCAAACTATCGTTCTCTCTCGCACATTTGTCTCACGATGGACCTGATATTCTTATGTTCTCTGTTTACACTAACACCTAATCACTAATTCAATCACATCTCATGTAAATCAAATAGGATCATGCTAGATTTATTTAAACTATGAAATAATAACCAAAATAATCTAATAATAATAACTGAAAAAATCAAACCATATGAAAACTGGCTGATCCAGAGGTGATATAAAATTAAAAGTCTCATAAAACTCTTATTTCCTATATATAACAACAGTGTTATTCAGACAGTATTCATAAAACTTCCTTATGTTTCTTGCATGTGCATAAGAACTAACATACTATTGTATTTGCAAAATAATTTGTGTGACAAGGTGCTGCACTTGCGACTTCAATCTCTACCCGGAAAACCCATTTTTGAATATTAATTTTAAAAAAGTTACTTTAAATGATCTGCATATGTTCACTGGTTGACTGGAAGGTTTATCAGGTCAGGTTGATTGGGATGTATTCAACTTTTCAATGCATTATTCACCACATGAACATTTCTCATCTTCAAATTGAAAAGAGTTGGGCAATTCATATAATGGCATCAAATGTGGTATAACAACTGCCTGAAATAGACAAAACACTTCTCAACGTTTCCACCTGAGGGCCTTTGTCAGGAGAGTTAGAATGAAAGTAAATAGGGGAGAATACATGTTTTGTATGGGAGCAAAACACATGACAAAAATGGGCCAGTACGTAGAAAACAAAAAGTCAAAACAACGCCTGATTGTGGGCTAAGAATAGCCCGCAATGAGGGAAGCCTGATCAGCAACGAAGACGTATTTACAACCATTGACCTATATAATGATACATATATATATATATATATATATATATATATATATATATATATATATATATATATATATATATATATATATATATATATATATATATATATATATATATATATATATATATATATATATATATATATATACAGAATTTCTTATTGTGTGGAACGAAGTTCGTCTTGTATATACATGATCTAACTACCAGTGAGATAAACTGATAAATATAGGTAAGTTCCGTTGCAATTTAATATAATTATATAAAAAAGCTAAGTGGCTGACTTTGAATTTCATTAAAATAATTGTATAATGTTGAAGTGATGGCAATTGTATAAACAATGAAGATGGAATGCAATGCATCTATATATTGCAAAATATTAGTGTTGTGCTTTCGATACATGCAGTATACCAGGAAGGAGTGCTGTTGTGCACTGCTTCTCAAGATTTTCAGATTGTCACTTTGATATATACCATTATGGCAAAAATTTACAAATGAAATTTGACTATTGAGCGAAAGGCAAATAAATATTCACAATTTAAAACTTTTAGGAAAATCGTTTTAAGCTTTTTCAGGACTGACACGACAAATCACGCAAGTAATACTCATTATATAAATACTCCAAAAATAATACATTTACATTATCATCACAATTCACAAATACGAACCGCGATTATAGGTATAGCCTAACAATCCGCACTGCGTGACACATTACTGTATCAATGCTTATATCGACTTAAGAGTGCAGTGTTCTAGTTCCGACGAAAGCCTTCAAAAAACTAGTTGTATGATAGTCATATAAGTGTTTCAGTCGACAGCTGGCACATTTAAAGTATTTAAGTATCATTTATAAACATTCGTACGTCTAAGCCTGCCAAAACATTGATGATAAATCTTGCTTTCATATAGGAATTTAAAAGTAAACATCCCACCAATCAATATGTAAACGTTGCACCGTAGTAATGTGTTCTGTGCGTAATTTGGCTTGTATTGTCGGGTAGTTACATTCTGTCACTCCTCGTAGCAATTACCCATATTGCGAGATTTTGATACAAGTGCGCAATGCATTCTGGGTCATCGAGGTCTAAAACGCGACCAACACACAACGAAACCTAGACTCGCGCTCTCCTAGAGCACGAGTGATAAACTTGCATTATTAAATGCCTGGCACTGCACAGCGCCTCGTCGCGTTGTGGTCTTGTGTGATACTGATACTGGAAAAACATTCCTCACTTCTTTAAAGTGCATATGAAATGAAAATTTCGATATCGGTTTTTTTGCATTTGCTAAAAAATACGTGTTTTCCGATCATAAATATACCGACCTTGTCGAAAAATTCGGACTAGAGGTTTGTGAGATTCACGATTAAAGTTCGATTTTAGGCTTTTTACTGGCGAACATTTCATCGCGCGGCTAATCAGGAATAAAAAAATGAAATGAAAATGACCCCCTAAATATACAAATTCCATAACTACATGACACTCGCACGACATTCTAAGGTGCATGGCAGTTTTAAATTTCATTGAGAATTACAAAGTTTTTCCTCCTAGGATTCATTCATTTATCAAAATATCAAGTTAATACACAGGCACATCAGTCATTCAAAGCTGAACGAACAATTCAATATATTAACGATGTCCCTATTTGTGAAACAATCTGAACGACTGCTGCATGTCATAAGTAAAGTATACATTTGCGTCTTGACAACTTTTATCTCTCAATCAAACCAAAGTGCGTTTACAAGATTGAAGATTTTTGAAGTTGATAAAGCTATTATTCACCAGCAATCTTTTGTGAAATATTTCAAAAGCGAAATTGAATGTTTTTTCTGGTTAGAGGCAATGGCACTACTAGAAAGAACTGTTACCAGAAAGATAAGGAAAGAGTGCATAATGCATGGTAGGCATTTAGGCAATTCAGACTCATATCATTTCTATTGTTCAAATACATTTGGTGTAGTAGTGCAGCTAAGCTGTCTTAAGTATAAATAGTATTCAGTACAGTGGTAATACTCCACAAAGTTATTATCTGTAAAGATATCGTCAAATTATGTGCTGAACTGAAAAAAAGCCTTTTGTCCTCTAATTATATTTGTATTCTAATTTCTAGTGCGATTTAAGAAATCATGCACTATCCGTTGCATAGCGCTATCCAGCTTTCATGGGCTTGCAATTGACCGTTGTCAAAACTTTACCAAAACTTTACTTCAAAACTTTACCAAATACTTATTACAAGTAGTTCCTATTCCTTATTCAAATTATAGAATCAAAATGCCCAGGGTATAGGGGAGTGAAGTTCTGTGATGTTCACTAATGAGAAAAATAACATGTATTATTTTGTTACTTTCACCCTCATTTTGCGGCATTTAACTGGAGATATTAAATCCTGTTTATTATAAGGCAAGCGTCACTTCCGGTAAAATGGAGCTCAGTGATTGGCTGAGAAGAATTTTCAGTGGTTCATTACTTTCCCTTAATGGCCCGACACTTTCCGGTTATAGGCCAGCGTTACCGGCGGTGCATTACGAGATAAAAACAGAGAAATTCTCAATGAAAAAGGCACAAATAAATGCTTAAGAGAAAATATAATTCCTTTTGAAATGAATAAGACGTCTCCAGACAGTTTAGTTAAATAAAATAATTGAATAATAGAATTTTTTTAATATTTATCAAATGCGTACCAGGCTACAAATACGAATTCATGTATTTCTTGTTTGTTTCAAGTGAAAATACATGCCTTATGCCATATAATAAACTTTTTCTTAACCTCGCTTGCTCGGTCTTTACCGAGAATTATCGAACTTCAATATTTTTGTACAAACTTCGCTCTTAATTCGAGCTCGGTCTGTTCAAAAAGACCTCGGTCCGATATTTCTTGGTAAATACCTCGCGCTCGGTTAATAAGAAGTTATTATTCTTATTAGAAAATGTCAGTATTCATTTAGTTTTGTCTCCTTAAATGGCAACGATACGAGGCTGAAACATGATGTTGGTTATATATACGGGAGTAAAATTCTGTGATGTTTCTGTGATGTATACAGTTATAGAAACATTATTTATCTGCGAAACATCCACAAACTTACAAGCTTAGAAATCAAAACTGTTTCATGATTCCAAGATGCAACGGCAACAGATTTAAGAAAACTTATATTATATCAAATCTTAGAAGTAAGAATGATAAAAATTTGTTAAATTTTAATATTTTTATTCTATGACGAACCGAATGTATAGTTAGTTTTTATTTAACTTCAGTTTAAACTAGTTATTAAAATGTTTGCTATAAGTTATAGATACATTCTTAATTATACCTACTTTTTATTTCTTTGCGGAAATCGTGTGTATTTTAGCTTTTGGGCTGCGAAGTGATTTGTTTTAGTAAACAGTATAATAATAATATTAATTCTATCAAACAAAATTGAGGGTTTGTATGCGATCTGAAATATAAATGAGCACTCCAGTCAGTGCAATGACCCATTAGCCGCTGATTGGGTGGGTTAAAGTTACAATCAGAAATTGCTCTTTCTAGGTTTTAAATCTACATTTCAGTCCATCTGTCCGTTATCCTTCCTGAGAATTTTGACCATGTAGTGGAATCATCGCTTTGAAGATTTGAGAAGGTATACGTTTGTGTCAGTGTTGGTTACGTTCTTCGAATATTAACAGTATGAGCGTCTATTGTCCACGAGCCGGTGCGAAGCACCGTGCGAGGGTACTAATTCCGCCCGGAGATTAGGAATTACACCCGGGAGAACATAGCGGAATCCAAAGTCGCCTAAATTTGGACCATGGACGTTCAATGGTCATGGTACTTGTGCGCATTCGCGAAATGCGAACGAGTGCGTAGACTTGTAATCAACGAACGTTCTGATTGGCTAAGACAGAAAGTTTGTATTTCAACGAGAACGTCAGCAATTCAACTGTCATTTCGTAAACATTTTTGTAAAAGCGTTTCATAAACTTTGTGCAAAGAAAGTAAAACGAGAAGAAACAAGATATATGAAGCATGACAAATAGCAAAGATGAACGTGGATACAGTAAAAAAAAAGCAGTGTAAGAGGAATAATTCATAATCTGCAAGCTTATAAATGTTTTCAAAGACAAAGGGTACGTGTTTACTTTGTTTATTTCGTATTGCTTTCGCGGTAAGAATGAGCCGTATTTGTATACTTTTGAGCTTTGTATTCCGTATATTTGTTAAATATTCAGCTTTTTATGCAAACGCATAAACCTGTGAAGGGCTATTACACCTTTGCTTTAACTTCAAAAAGGGTTTTTGAAAGTGTAATTTCAATTATGGTATCAAAAATACACAATATATTTATAAAGTATACTGAAACTTTTAGCCCCCGGCGTTGACTGCAATTACAGAATAAAATAACATTTGAAGTTTTTTCTTTGTCTGTGAAGATTTTGTACTGTTTTAATCGTTTGAAACTTCGATTTTAAACCGTTACTTAATTGCTGGCATGGTATAATGCAGCAAAATTGAACCGGCAATGTTTACACTAGCTTTATGATTATTTTTGTATTGAATGATGGAAACTTTAAGACTGATTTGAGTTTTGTGTCATTTCGTAATATAAGTTTAGGTCAGGTTAACTCAGGAAATTGTGTACTTGGTTTGAAATAGCGAGGGGTTGCTGCATGCATGTATTTCTAGTATTCTATTGAGTGGCATAGTACAGAACTGTGACGTCATTACGTTTTTCGAATATTAACAGTATGAGTGCCTATTGTATTCTATTGAGTGGCACAGTACAGAGCTGTGACGTCATTACGTTCTTCGAATATTAACAGTATGAGTGTCTATTGTATTCTATTGAGTGGCACAGTACAGAGCTGTGACGTCATTACGTTCTTCGAATATTAACGTATGAGTGTCTATTGTATTCTATTGAGTGGCACAGTACAGAGCTGTGACGTCATTACGTTCTTCGAATATTAACAGTATGAGTGTCTATTGTATTCTATTGAGTGGCACAGTACAGAGCTTTGACGTCATTACGTTCTTCGAATATTAACAGTATGAGTATCTATTGTATTCTATTGAGTGGCATACTACAGAGCTGTGACGTCATTACGTTCTTCGAATATTAACAGTATGAGTGTCTATTGTATTCTATTGAGTGGCACAGTACAGAGCTGTGACGTCATTACGTTCTTCGAATATTAACAGTATGAGTGTCTATTGTATTCTATTGAGTGGCACAGTACAGAGCTGTGACGTCATTACGTTCTTCGAATATTAACAGTATGAGTGTCTATTGTATTCTATTGAGTGGCATAGTACAGAAGTGTGACATCATTACGTTCTTCGAATATTAAAAGTATGATTGTCTATTGTATTCTATTGAGTGACACAGTGCAGAACTGTAACGTCATTACGTTCTTCGAATATTAACAGTATGAGTGTCTGTTGTATTCTATTGAGTGGCATAGTACAGAGCTGTTACGTCATTACGTTCTTCGAATATTAACAGTATGAGTGTCTATTGTATTCTATTGAGTGGCATACTACAGAGCTGTGACGTCATTACGTTCTTCGAATATTAACAGTATGAGTGTCTATTGTATTCTATTGAGTGGCATAGTACAGAGCTGTGACGTCATTACGTTTTTCGAATATTAACAGTATGAGTGTCTATTGTATTCTATTGAGTGGCACAGTACAGAGCTTTGACGTCATTACGTTCTTCGAATATTAACAGTATGAGTGTCTATTGTATTCTATTGAGTGGCATAGTACAGAGCTGTGACGTCATTACGTTCTTCGAATATTAACAGTATGAGTGTCTATTGTATTCTATTGAGTGGCACAGTACAGAGCTTTGACGTCATTACGTTCTTCGAATATTAACAGTATGAGTGTCTATTGTATTCTATTGAGTGACACAGTACAGTGATGTGACGTCATTACGTTCTTCGAATATTAACAGTATGAGTGTCTATTGTATTCTATTGAGTGGCATAGTACAGAGCTGTGACGTCATTACGTTCTTCGAATATTAAAAGTATGAGTGTCTATTGTATTCTGTTGAGTGGCATAGTACAGAGCTGTGACGTCATTACACTCTTCGAATATTAACAGTATGAGTGTCTATTGTATTCTATTCTGTGGCACAGTACAGAGCTGTGACGTCATGTTAAATGAACCGGTAACCAATATAGAAAAAATTATAACACGATTACGAGGCTCAGGGGCTAAAACCTGGCAATAATCAAACACTAAATAGCAAATAAGACAGATTAGTTGTTCTGAGACTATTTTAACAGGCTCGATCCCTGAGCGCCTAATAGTACTGCATTGACTTACGAAAATATAATAATCCAGCTTAACTGATTACATGCTGAGGAGGCACAGCCACTAGTCTGAGAAGAGAAATGTTTTATAAAGTGTTATTTGTAAAAATAAATTACATTGAGAGTTTGCTGAAACAGCTTTTCAAAATTATCGCACGAACTAAATGGAATTGATAAAAAACTTCAACGACAGTTTACAATCGGAAATGAAAAAAATCGAGTAGCAATAGATCTTAAATACACGAGATATTTTATAAATTATTTGGCATCAAAATACATTTAGATCATACCATGTCTATAAATGAGAACATGCTTTCAAAATTTATAATATCAAGAAAAATCCCATTTCCGCACACAAACAAGACAGACGGAATGTTTATAGAAATTCTAAAATTAAGTTCATGTGAGTTTGTCATATGGGTGGTAGCAGGTCAGAAACGGTACTCCTAAAACATATGTCTCTTCACAAAATCATTTTCACAAGAAATCCTTTCGTTAAACAAAATCCTAGCGACTTTCTTTTATGAAAATCTACTCCATCCCATTCTTTTTCTCGGTGTAACCTATATAATTAGTGCAACATTTTGTTACAGTAATTAACCGTGTCTAATGCCATGGCTTCTGACGAACTGCAAGAAAAAGCAAATTTTACAAGACTTAGTAGACTTTTAGTTGACAAAGGAACTGAAGCTTTGAGAAATAAATTTGATCGCATCCATCCACCTGTTAGTCTACCTGGAGTACTGGCTACAAACAAAACATCTCTTCAAAGGTTAAAACCTCGAGTTATTAATAATTCCCAGTGGGATTTACTGTTTCCTCCGTCTGGCAACCCACCAGATTCCAAAACCTTTGATGTCACATTACTTACAGTTCTATTCCGGAACATTTGTGGTTTTCCATCAACAGGATGGAGTGTAATGCCTCCGGATACTGATAGATCTATGCAAGCGAATGTCACAAGAATCAAGTGTTACAGAAATGAAGTTATTGCACATGTAACAACAACTCAAGTTGACAATTCAACATTTGAGTCTTTATGGAAGAAAATCTCCCAGGCGATAGTAGAATTGGGCGTTTCACAGAGTGATGTCGACGATTTAAAAAAATGTCCTCTTGGGCCTGCAGAAGTGTATGTGCAAAAGCTTAAAGATTGGAAACTGCACGAAGATGAGTGTATTAAATTGCTTCAAGCAATTAATGAAACGCGCGATGTAGCAAATGAAACGCGCGATCTAGTAATTGAAATCCGCCATTCATTGGCCAAGCGTGCGCTATCAATACCCGGGGACACCATTCCTGAAAAAAATCCCGCATGGAAAGTGATGAAGATTTATTGCGAAAACTTGCTAAGCATAATTTTAAGGGTCAAATTAAAAGAAAAGTGAATTTCTTCCTTCCTGGTACAAGAGAGTGGTTGTTAAAGAAAGTTAACGAGTGGTTTCAAATGTGTGACAACGATTCAAAAATAAAGTTAATAACAGCTAGACCAGGATTTGGTAAAAGCGTTTTTGCCGCTAAAATCTGTGAAGATTTTGAGAAGAATGGAAAGCTGGCTGCTTGTCACTTTTGTGATTTCAGCAATTCAAACCTAAGAGATCCTATGGCGATGTTGGAGTCTCTTGCAAGTCAGATGTGCAAGAGCGTCCCTGGTTTCAAAGAGGTGCTCCTTGATCAGTTAGGACGGCGTCATCAAGTCCAAAACCTGAGAGATGCATTTCTAATATATTTGCAAAATCCCCTAAATGAATTGGAAATAAAAGAGCCGCGTTTAGTCGTGATCGATGGCTTGGATGAAAGTGCTGCTGATAATAAGAATGAAATTACGCATTTAATTGCTGAATATTTTCCTGATCTTCCCGAGTACATCAAAATCTTGGTGACGAGCAGGCCAGAAATTTCCGTTGCTAATCTAAAACTAAGAGACGATCAAAAGACAGACATTTCCAATGGTGATGACAACAATAACTCAGATCTTGAATTTTATTTTAAAGAATGTTTTCCAAGTTTAGTTGGCAGGGAAGTGGATAAAAGGAAGATGAGCGAAGATTTCTATAAGGATCATCCATATCTATCATCTCATTACCGCTTTTGGCAAAATAAAACTTTTAGTCTACTTTCCATTTTTGTTGCCAAATGCCAGGGCTCATTTCTCTATGCATATCACTTTCAATCTGGGCTAAGGGCTCGCTATGATCTTCAGAAGATAACAAATAATGACGTCATGGAGTTTCTCCCAGAAGGTCTGCATTCTGTTTACGAACGATATTTTAAACGCCTTGAAGACGAGCTTAACGCCATAAAACACGAAAAGTTCGATGTCTTGAATATTTTGGCAATGCTGGTTGCTTCCGAAGAAGATCTTCCCCTCACTTTCGTCGCTCAGGCTTTTGGTTTAGCTCCAGATTGTCGCAAAACGAAAGACATCATCAACAAAATTAATGAAACCGTATCGTGCTTGTTGTACGTTTCAGATGACATGTTAACCGTTTTTCACAAATCCTTTATTGATTGGCTTCTAGCAAAGGGTTACAATGATCACCAGTATACTGTCAAGGTCGATGATGGACATAGATCGCTTTGGCCTTTATGCGAAAAGGTTTTTAAAGAAATCATGGAAAGTGTACGCTCAGGAGTTGAGGTGAAGTTTACTCATGACGTGAAATATGCTCTAAAACATGGTTTAAAACATCTAGAAAAGTGCGGAATAGAGGAAGGTGTGTTTTGGTCAGTTGATGTTATTATCGTATCTTATATGTTAACTGAAATCGATTCAGATGTATTGCAACGTTTCTGGCTCAAATCACTCCAAAGTTCTTGGATCAAAAACGAAGATTTACGCGCCCGTATTTCGTACCATGTCATTGAATTTGCCTCTTTTGATCATGCCTTGGAATCCCTGATTGACATGAAGCGGTATTACATAAATTCAAAACACGTTCTTTCGGTAGTATATCCACAATGGTATTTACAAGCGGTTTTTACACATTCTCCAAAAGGTTATTTCAGCGATAATAAGAAGAAAATCGCGGAGACGCTACTATCAAACCTTTCGCCTTTTGTCGAGTCGAATTCTTACGAAGTTTCGGTTTTGCCGCGAGCAGTCTGGAAACAGAATGACGTTGGTTTTATTACAGCTGTTGCTTTATCTAACGATGAAAAAAGTGTAGCAGTTGGAATAGATAGTTTTATCCGTGTGATATCCCTACCAAATTTAGTTGAAATTATGAGTTATTCAACAAAATTGGAAAGCATTTCTTGCTGTACATTTTCTCTAGACGATTCGCTCGTATTATTTGGTAAATTGGAAACGGCGTTTAACATTGCTGAAAGGAAGGAAGTCCCATTTTTCCCTGGAAATGAAGAGACGTTCGAAACATGTGCATTTTCCCCTAACGGCAAAAGACTGGTGACTAGCGACGGTTCAAACATCATTAAACTATGGGACGTTGCTAAACAAACGCTGCTGTCATCGCTTTGTGCTGGATTTCCTGTTGATTGGTGTTCTTTTAGCGTCACAGGGTTATTTATTATTGGAAATTCAGAATCTTCATCTGATACGGGTTATTCGTTGTGTGTTTGGAACGCCATCACATTGCAAAGAAGTGATAAGCGAAGATTACCTCACGGGGAAAGTGTGAAGCCAGTTGTGTTAAAGAGTAGGAAATGCGAACGATGTTCTCGTCGGGAATTTGAGGAACCAAATTCTAAACAGTTAGAAATAATGAGAGGTTTGAGGAATAATATTAGAATTTCGTGTCCGTGGATCTGCAAAGGTGTGGAGTGTATTTTTTCTTCGGAAGAATTTTGTTATTCGAGTGTCACAGAAAGTATTCCTTTGACTGCCATTGTTGCTTGGAACTATCTTGCCATAGCTGCTCATGCATCGACGGATTTTTTGTAATCGAGTCAAAATGACACGTTTAGGAGATAATCTGTGGCTCTATTCAGATGATAAAAAACTAATTGTCTTTAAAACATTACCTCCTAAACAAGAGAAATCCTGTCTGTCACAGCCAACGAAAGTTTATTCAAGTTCGTTTTCTCCTGACGGCTCTCGACTTGCATCCTGCAACTCAGATGGATATATCAACGTATGGAATGTCTATACCAGCCAAGTTGAACAACGTTTCAAAAGCAGTCAATGCAGGTCAAGGTTTTTATGCTGGTGGTCGGAAGATTTCTTGTTTGTGATTAGTGAATTTAACGACATTCTCAAATTAACGCGATACCAGGTAGATGACAAATTAGAGATTTTGTTTACTCACAGTCAGGACGTGACGCTAGACGACTTGTCTGATTTCAGTTATTCAGAGCTGATTGGTTTTTCTGAAGGCTTTGTCAGCTTGGCTCTCGAAAGCAATGAACCTGTGAAAGTTCTCGATGTCAGAGATGTCGATGGTCTTGTAATGATCAATTTGCCTGGAATTGAGCCTGAGATGGAAGTGGAAATCTCGCCTGGTGGTGCCTTTATCTCTGGCGTTAATGAGAATAAATGTTATATTTGGAAAAGAAATACCGAAAACCCAACGTCGTATGAAGTCTTTTATCACGGTGACGCTGGAGGGCCTGACATGTTGTCTTGTGTCGTAATTTTCAGTAATGATTCCAAAGTCGCAATAGTCATGCACAGGAGTTCTTATGAGAGTAAGATAATTGATCTGAACACTGGTGATTCTCAAAATATAACTCCTCCATTCCGGCCCATTAATTATTATATGAGGTCATTTTGCATTCACAAGAGTAGAACTGTATTAACTGTGTATTTTACCCTGATAGCATTTCATGACATGGACTCTGGTGCGATTCTCAACACTTCCTATCAACCATACTTGAGGACTTTTACGCCAAGCCAAGCAATTAAACTTTCCCCAAAAGAGGACGTGCTGGCTTTTTCTAACAAGAAAGGTGATATGGTGTTTCTTCGACTGTCTATTCCACCAAATCCTTTGTTGCACGATATCAAGCAACTAGCAGTTGCTGAGTTGGACCATTCCTTATTTAAGCAATTGAAACTTTCTACGTTGGACGATATTAAACGACTGAAACTTCCTTCGTTGGACGATATTAAGTGAGATGCGGTAGTCAATCCTTTATTTAACCGGAATAAAGTCGTCTTGCGGAAAAAGGTTTTGACTGCTTTTAGGGAAATCTACACAAAATATTTTCTTACATGTTGGGTTTCCCCGCAAGTTTTTTATACCAATTAAATGCGAATATCTTTTTTCTTAAAAATAACTGAAGTGAACTCGTTCACACGAGGACGAAAAACGAGAGGAGAAGACTTATTTAAAAAAGACTTTGTTATGAACGACAGATGTTTTGAAACTGAGATTTTGGTTAGGATATTTCATAATGGATTTAGTGAGCAATAACATGAAAAACTATCATCATGAACATTGTTTGGGGAAGCGGCTAGACTTCGCTTGGAGCTGGTCTAGAATGGAGAAGTAAGACACCTCCTTCCCTCCGTTTGTCTGGGAGTTCACCTTGGGCAAGTGATAGCACTCCTTTGCCTCCCTAACTGGGGTTACAGTTTGTTAAACAAAACAAAGATGATATCTTGAATACATCTGCAAGAAACAAGTCCTAAAAACTGTGACCAATGACAGTCGTATGATGGTGTTGTTTAAGATGTTCATTATGGTAGTTACAGTCATGTTGGTGGTGATAATTCTCATCTATGATAGTGGTGATGGTGCTGGTGTCTACGTTGGTGCTGATAGTAATTGTGCTGGTGATGAAAATAACGGTAGAATTTGTAGTAATTATATTAGCTGTATTTTGTTCCTGAAGTTTGATGCTGATAAAAAGAAAGATAACGGAACTCAGTTGCGTCATGCACTGGAACGATAATTGGGGAGGGGGAGTTGATTATTCATATATTCAGTTTTTCCCAACGGATTTCTTTTGTAAGTGCAATAGCTTGAAATAGAAATCCGTCGGCAGAACCATTGAATTGTAAACAAACTGGAACGATAACTCAGGGGGGTGGGTTGAAGCCAGTGCTGTTTACTTTTTCTGAGTTTTGAGCTGAAATACTTGACACTAAATGTTGAGCCGTATATGAAATTAAAGCTGTTAAAAATTTTTTTTTGGGTGTTAATTTCGAGACTTTAGCTTAAAGTGAAATATCTCAAAATTTCCCGGTTTTTTCCCGGTTGGTAATTGTTTTGTTTTAATATTTCCTTTGTAGTTGTAGTCTTGACATTTCTACACCAAATATAACTTTTCAATGGCTTTAATTTGACACACAGCCCAACGTCTGGCGTCAAGTATTTCGTCTCAAAACTCCGAAAAACTGTTTTGGCTTTAAGCCGAATAGGGATATTTGTCAGGAGTTATCGTTCCAGTTGTATAGAGTTCACTGGGCAGAACTGAATATATGAATAAACACCACCCAATTATCGTTCTAGTTATGCCCCAAATAGAACTACAAGAGCTATGTACATTACAGGAAACGTTTGTTTTTTAGTTGGGAAGGAAGATATTTGTAGCCTGAAACGGGAATAAATTCCCAGAGTGGAGACCCAGCTGATGTGAATATTTTCTATGAGAATGAAATATATGTATAAGGCATACGAATGGGAGGGATTTGCTTTGTTTAAGAATTAAAAAACGAGTCGCGTGCCTTTATCGTGTAATAATGCACGATGGGGGAATGTTGGGAGAATACGAGAAAAGCTTGTAAAACACGAGGCGTAGCCGAGTGTTTTACAAGCTTCTCGAGTATTCTTCCAACATTTCCCCGAGTGCATTATTACACCATAAAGGCACGCAACGAGCTTTCTTAATCCTTTTATAATATAAGAAGAAATTATAGGGCAACAACAAAATTTATTTCTTTGATCAATAATGAAATTCTCCTTACATGTTATTTAAGATGTTGCTTAGCAACAAAAACTTCAAAAGCCAGAAGCGTGCATTATGGCCTCACAATGCACGCGCGGTAGCCAATCAAATTGCTCGTTATATCATACTTATATTATAATAACTAATAAAACGTGGTGTCTTTAATAAACGAACACGCAACTATCATTGATCTGTAAGCAAACTAATATCAAGTGTTGAAATAGGATATTATGACTTAGAAAGTGTCTGGTACACACAAGTACATATCTGCTTGATATTTAATCATAGGCTATTGCCAGCATTTATTGTAATTTGTATAGATTTGTAATCATTTGTAAACCGTTAACCATTTTATTACATATTTCACTCAGTTTTTGAATTTTCTAATTTTCTATATCTGTGGTTGTTAACGTTCTTATGTAACGCGCAGTCAATGAGTGTAAAAGTTTTCTGGTGTGATATCACCTTGGCGAAATATCGCCTTGGAGGTAATTACACAAAGAACCAGGGTTGCCAGATTGGCTGAATAAATTAGCTGAATCATTATTACCCTCAAGAAAACAGAGGAAACAACAGAAACCAATTAAGTGACATTCGTGTCCGCGAGGTCTTTCTAGGAAATTGTTAGGTGAGGTTTTGGGCGGGGAGCGGCAAATAGTTCCAACTATAGAAATTGATAATTTATAGATGCGTGAGTTGTGGGAAGTTTGGAACACCTTCCCCAGAAATTGTTTTTGTATTTCTGAATCTCTTTAACTTGATTTCCTGCATTTTGGGGGACACTCGCTGACGAGTTCTTTCCGGCAGAGCGACGTTTGTCAGAATATAATTTCTTTCTGCTAAATAATGCGTTTATTTCTTATTGAATATCGCCACATCATTATTATTAACCGCTCAATTTATCTCCATGGATTGATTACAATTTTCTTATAACACAAGGTAAATTTCTAATAGACAGAACGTGTAGTTTCATCTGTCGCTTCGTAAGCCTCGTTTTCATATGTCACCGACAGTCAGCGATGATAGGTGGTGGCCGGTGACGAAATTTGTTTAAATTAAAATAAGAAAGCCCTTTATTTTCCTTCATTCACCAACAATAACCATCGACCTGGCTTATAACCCTGGCCTTCTTATTAACCACCGACAGTCGGCGATGTATTGTTGATAACCAATGACCAAGAAAATTTTTGGAAAATAACACAGCACTTTATTCTCCAGTGATCTCTGGCAATATCCTTCGCCAATTGTCGGTTACATATGAAAACCAGGCTTCAAGCCTAGTTCACTGGTTCTCGTATGTCACCGATAGTCCGCCATATATTATTGGTGGCCATGACCATGCAGTGACTAAAGCCTCGTTTACACGACAAGCATTTTTGGCCAGGCATACTTAATTTTTTGCATGCTGGAAGAAAATGGCACGGTACTTTTAAATTTTGTCCTATAAACAAACCTAATATAAGTCCACAGACCAGTAATTTTATCCGTGCTGAGACCGCTTTTAAAGCTGTTCTCGACCTGTCAAAGCATGGGTGTCGTGCCGAAAATATTGAGTTGCATCAGCAATTTTGAATCTGATTTGAGCGAGGGTCTGCCTCGAATGTTCTTTGATTTTATCAGCAATTTTTTATTGTTGATCATGCGCAGATTAAATAATTACTGCAAAATGGCGGGAAAGAACAGCAGGAAAAGCTCTGGTCGGATACGAAAACAAATGTTTTAATAGAAGCCTAGGTTGCTGAAGTCATTCAACAAGTTATAAAATGCAAAAAAAATATTGACACTATAACACGAATAAAAAGATTCGTTTTTTGTTCGAAGGATAAACTTTTTAGAAGGCCTTTATAGCATGATTATCAGATGATCTAACAAGTTGTCTTTAATGCCTTTATTTTGTCAACTAAACCATGTTCATTTGTTTCAATTGATGCATCTGTGCTTTGTTAATCTGCTGACTTATATAGCAACTGCGGTGTGGTTATGGGCACCAAAAATATTCTATTTGGTGCTTTCTAAAATTTTGTGGTATTCAGGCCTAAAAGAAAAATAACGCGAAAACAG